GGGAGTCAGATGAAACCAAACTACTTGTCAGTAGGGAGAAATTGTGATTATTAATTGAAAAGAAGTTATGGGATGGAGAAATCTTGAAAAAGACGGAGCATACGTCTTACAATCGTCCAAGAAGAGGTTGTACTGGCGGGGGCAATTTGTGTTGCAGGTGACTAAAAAATTATGGGCAAGCAAGCTGATCAAGATCAAGAAGAATTTACAAGTATCCATTTCTATTGTTCCTCCTATGCATTATTGAATATAGTTTAAGCTGATGGTGAGGTAAGGGAACGTGTTTTTCGGACCTGGTCCAGCTCACCAATCTTAAATGGTCTTCCATAAGCGGAGCCAAGGGGTTTGAAACTCGACCACTGGTGCTTGTTGTTAGAGTTTGTTGCCATGTCCCTTCGACGAAGGCCTACCGGATCGAGGGAGAGGAAGCCGTATCAGTAAATAAATAGGGTGAAGTGGAAATCATATTAGCAAACTGATAGGAAGCCTTCTCGCAACGGTGCCACAGAGACGATACAATACGGTATCAGGCGTTTATCTGTATCGTCTCAGAATTGGAATACCCAAAAATACCGGATTTGTGTTGTCTCACTTTCCTGAGACATATACATGTATCGTATTTGAAAAGTGAGAAATGTATTCTGTATCGTCTCAGATGACTGATCCCACCAAAACCGTATTTGATACATAAGATATTTGGCTGTATTGAAGAAAAAACGAAAAAAAACGAAGACGATTTTTTTTTTTTTTTCATTTTTAAATCCAAATCCGATACAATGTATTTTTTCACCAACCAAGGAAATACTGATACCGGTATCAGGCTCAAAATAAATACGATACGATCCGATACAAATACATGTCTCGTATCTGTGGCACCGTTGCTTCTCGGTTTTCACTGCTACACAACTGAAGTTGAATTTCAAGGAGTTATCCAAAACATCAGTCACCTTAGACATCAATGAATATGTAAATCAATCAATCGTGGCTACTACTACCCACAATACCCGTTTCATTGCATGGTCCCGAGTGCCAGCTGCCGAGTGACCATTTTTTCAGATCCTTCCAATGTCATAACGACCGACGGGAGCATCTGCGGATTCCCAATTGGGATTCTTCAAACCCACTCCTGAGTCCGGGCCATGTACTATACTTGTAGTTTGTTTTACAAAGAAACCGATCATGATTAATAAAGGTATCCAGATTCAAGCACCGTCGCTCACTGTAAATTAAAGGTTTATTGCCATGCGCTGTCTGTCAGAGCGGGTTAGTAGAAATAAAATTTCATGTGGGTTAAGTAGAAACATGAGATGAGTTGACTGGATCCGACCCGAGGGATCAACGCCAGACGTCTTTTTCTGGTTGTCGGACCAAATTTGAGGCCCCAGTCCAGTTTTTCACAGTGCTCCTGAGTTTGGATACCGCACTGAAAATCACGATGGAGTAAATAACATGAAAATGACATGGAAAAAAAGAAGCAGAAAGCCGAGGACAAGCGCATAAGAATCAAGAACTAAGGAGAAGAGACAAGACCTCTAAGGAGAAGAGACAAGACCTTTAAGGAGAAGAAACAAGACCTCTAAAGGGAAGAAGCGTAACCTCTAAGGAGAAGAGACAATACCACTAAAGGATGAGAACAATGGTTAATTTTACAGTTCGGAATCAACCAGTCGTTCGAGCACATGAATTCCTTCATAAGAAGCAGCAAGATGGGATATCAATAATGACAAGACATGAGCAAATATGTTTAGCTATGTGGCAAAAAGTCATGGTTTGCTGGTCAATCGGAAGTAGGAACACCAAAGTGAAGGAGGCCGAGTTGATTCGAAATTGGATCAAGGAGATATTGTGCCGGTGGACATCATTCAATGTCGTCATGTGGGTCTTTTTTTTCCCTATTCCACCACCAAGTTGCGCATACGTCCAAGTTCAACGGGCGCATACACCCAAATTTTTAGCCCAATCGACAACAGGCAATTGTACTCAAGAGCTAAATTGGGAGACGGACAATTTTCGGGGCCCCCTTCTCGAGGGTTCAAGCTGAATTAAATTCAATTAGTAGCAAAACGCAAAGAACTAATATTTAAATATTTAAATCAAAAAGGAAAAGTGAAGAGAGAATAGAGCAATCATGCTGAAGGAAGAAAACAGCCATGGATAAATCACGAGAAGAAACGGGACCGCTGAAGGACGAGACGATGGATATGGAGTTCGGAATCAACCATTCCCTAGTAGACCTACCACTGAGTTGCGTGTTCAAAGACAAAGAGCCCCCGATCTTCGCGATCGCTATGGAAAATTATCATAGACCTGCCGATGTATGCTACAAGATCACGAAATTTAACCAACGAAACCGCTTCCTTTCCTCCGTCGAGAGATTATCGGGCACCTTCATTGCGACATGCAGCTTCGCCTGCTTTTGGTGAAGCTTACTGGTAACAAGAAGTTATCAACCCCTGCGGATGGTTGTCCTGAGTCTTCGCCGCTTTTGCCACCAGTGGTTTCCAGTTCTTTGATTTTCAATCAAATTAAAGAGCATCCCAACAGCCCATCCAATCGGCAGGAAATTGTTCAATACCGAACATTTACAAAGCTGATCTCATCGGTTTCACGGATCGGTTGTGCTTTGTCGGATTCACAATCTCGCGTTGTCGAAACTACCGGCGCGGTGTATTTGTGATATGTACACAGTCAGATATTTGAGATCAACTTATCAATGTGCCTCCCCACCGCTGGGCCGCCACTACTAGATATTCGTTCGATATTTGCCAGCTTGGGCTTAGGAACTTGCGCCTAGCACACCTTTTGGCCTTGAAAGCACTCAATAACGTGCGCCAAGAGTATCGTCGGGTTTGCGATGCAGAAATTTGAGTGACCGGGGCAAGCTCTTGCCGCAGGATGAATGTCAAGTGATGAGCCAGCTTGGAGTTCGTTCTACTCTAGGTTGAATACGACTCAGTCCATAGTGGTAAGGATCGATATAAGAACCGTGGTTTGATTGATGGAACAAGATAACCTCATCATCCTCATTCCCAATCAGCGGCTCTTCCAACAACTCTTCCGATTTTAGATACTCTTACCTGGTGTTTGAGTTTAATCTTTTAATTCTTCTAATTTATCGGTAGTATCAGTATCAGTTATTTCTTCATTTTTCAGCGTCAATAATATTTCCTCGCTCGCCGCCTAGAATCATCCACACTTAATCTAGCCCAACCCCTATCCAAAAATTTCAAACAGACATGTTGGTCACCATCCCTTTCTCCAGCTTGATTGCCCTTGTCAGCTGTGCTTCGATTCTCTGTGCACCCGGAGTCGTTCAGGATTCTAGTCGTTACACGTAAGTCGGAGGATTTTTTTTTTCAATCCGATCTTCTAACATAGGTTTATGTTCTGACGAATATCAATCACTCCAATTCATCATCTCAGTCTTTTACGAAGACAAGTCACTCCTACGAACCAGAATGGAATGAAAAACTTGACGTCGGGAGCAGGAAATCCAGTAAAGATGACGATGGGTATCCAAATGACGATGAATGGCGCACCGGTACCGATGACTTCGCAAGAGAAGGAAGCCCAGGAAGAAGCCGAAGAAAAGATGCCCGGCCTCAACACGATAGCCAACGCGATGAACGAGCTATACTTCCACGAGAAATACGGGAGCCAGCGAAACGAGCCAGCGGTGTTGATGAAGATGGTCGGCCAAGCGGCTGGTAGTACTGGTAAGAGCGGCGACCCTGAGGTAGTCTCAAAAGCGATGCTTGCCACCTATGGGCCCTACAACCAGGGAAAGCCTTCCTCGATAAGCGCATCGCCCATCACCCCACTCAACAAGAACACGGCTTCGATGGAAGAAACCCCTTCGCTCAAGACAGTCGCCCATACTCTTCACGAAACCTGGGAAAAATTGATGACTATGACCCCCAAGCCTGACAATGCCCAGCTCGTCCCCGTATTCTGTCAGGCGATTGCCTCAAGCTCCGCCACCGGTGATGCAGCTTCAGTATCCAAAGCAATCGATGCAGCTTACGCAAAAATGGCCGGCACCCAGTGATTTCTGTCCCACCAGCTTCCGGACCATCTTTTCTGTCCCTCTTCCCGGATGTTTTTCTGTGCACTTCTGTAATTTTTGTATTCATCTTTTGGTCGCAGGATGATCTCAATTCTTGTATGTATCCTGCAAATGCCAGCTTGAAAAGTAATCACCTTAATATGTAGCACACACTTTTTATGTCCCAAAATAAAACTTGGTGCTCATCTGGATGTGTCTCCATTTTGAAATTTGGGAACAGGATGGGAAGAAAATTTTGAGAGTAATTGATCAGATAGCTCAGTATTTTGACACTACTAGTGCCAAACTCATTTGGTTGAATCCCCATGAAAGACTTGCATGATGGATAAGCTCTCTGCATAAAGCAATAGAGACTTGGAATCAACTGAAGACCCCAATTTGCCATTGACCACTATCCACATGAGTTGATGTGAGGATAATTTTGCCATACACATTTGCTCTGATGTACATACATTTAAGAGAAAAACCAATGTGAGGAAAATCCCTGCAGGAAAGAGCAAAGCAGAGAATCTGGAACAGAATACGCAAATTTACTATGAAATAGGGGTGGGGATGAATTCTTATCAATTCAGAAAGAAGAAAAACACAAAAGCTACCTTTGTGTTTCATCTGTTTCCAACTTTTGCTGGACAAATCCGGATTTTGTAAGGAGGATTATGAGATTCAAATCTGAGACTGGCTTTTGATCAATTGAAACGGTATATCCAGCAGACATTTCAGAAGTAGAATTGACTTACTTTCCTAGCTTCTCAAACTTGCAAACCAGCTTGATTGTTGGTACTTATCCATAATTCAGGGATGTCAACCAGGGTTTGGGATGGGGTGTGCACCTCATCTGCAACAAAGTCAAGGCACTTTTCCATGGAGGGGTTCTGCTGAATAACCCTGTGCATGTGTCAATGGTGGACCAATGTGTGTTACAATACAATATTTTGGCCCTTTTGCATAACACATTGGCCTATTTTTTATTTTTTTTATGTTTATCAAGAAGGTTATGGAATTTTTGATACTTTAAAATTCTTTACAGCCCAATACAAGCTGCATCAATGGGAAAAACCTGCATCATCTGTTATTGAGGGCTTTTTTTGAGCCCTCAATGTTATTGTTATCAGAAAAAGCAGGATTCCAATAACAATGACATCAAAAAGTAGCAAAAAATATCACTTTACAATACATTACCAATAACTGATAAGGTATTGACCCACTGTTGCATGTGTTTTGCATTCCAAAAAGGCTCATTAATGCAGCCTTCCAAATGTAGAATTTCATTGGCTTCAATTTGTTCTCAAAACCTGGATAAAAGGTTTTCCAGTGTATTTTGACAATATATTGACTGGGAAACATGATGTTATAAAGTTGAAATTCATTAAAAGCTTTGAAAAATTGGCATTCATAGTGACCTGTTTTATTGATTCAAAGCATAGGATTGAATACTTTTCCTTGGATTTGAGCCACACACATAATTAACTTGGATTCCCCAAATCCAAAGACCCCTTCCAATGGTGGATCTTCAAATGCCTGCATGGTATCAAGGCCTGGCACATTAGCTGATGATCTTCTAGCCCAGGTGTTTCATCTAGATATCCAAGTGTGGTAGCTACAAAAATAGGCACTGTCTCAGGCCCAAACTCCCCATACCAATGTCACCATAGCTCACTGTTTCAGTAGCATCAATATCTAATTATGCTTATTGTTAAATCATTCTGTTGGATACCAAACTGTTGCTTTTCCTTTTCTCAGTCTCCTCTGGAATTCTTCAATCACTTCTTCTGTTTGTCCAATTGCTGCCTTGTTTCAAACCTTGTTGAGGGGAAATGACTTGGACCAGAAAGCCTTTTGATTGTTACATTGAAAGAGACATGGAAGTTGGAACACTACATCAACTGATTCTCCAACAGAAAAAAAATACAAATTAGTAAAATTAGGCAGTCTGACTCCCCCATACTAGCTCCAACACAAATCTGGCTCCTGGTAACATGTTAGGGACATCTTGTGGGGGTCTTATTGAAATTACTCAATTCCACAAATTGGGAGTTTTTTTAACAAAGACCCCCTTTGAATAAATCTTCTGCTTAGTGATTCCTGAAGTTAGTTAAAACTAGAAGTGGCAGTAGCTTCATTATAAGCATGGAGAGAATTCAGTTTTCTCTGGTTTTATTTTCAGATAAGCAAATTGTTGAAAATTTGTCCAACATGAACAGCCCCATATTTTCAAGGAATGACTGCAAAAAGGGTTCATAGACTTCCAGATTTTAGGAGGATGATGTGGGGGGGCATAAACAAGGAACTAGTGACACCAATATCCAGAAGAATGTTTGCCACCACATTTGGAGCAGACCCCTGGGTCATGATTCTCTTCCAGCCTGCTGATGACTGTTGCAGGGCCTTGGCCAGTAAGTTGGGAAGCTCCAGCAGCCAAGTGGTTGATCATGAAAATCAAGGCCAAGGAAAGTGTAACAGTTGATAATGCTTGCATGGCAACGGATATATGATTTGATTGAGGATTGAACACAGGTTGTTTGCAGATCAGAATGTGAGGATGGAGTGGTGAGCAACAGGTATGCTGGTTGTAACTTGTGAGGTGATTCCTGACAACTCATGGGCTATGTGGGATGGGACGACCGGGCAAAAATTGGGGATTAAAAAGCCCCAAAAATTGGGGATTAAAAAGCCCGCTCGAAGTTGCACCCCTCAGCATGAGCACACCTGCAGAATACATTTGGCCATCGATCAACCACCAACCGATCGTCCAGCCATGCCAAAGGAACTCGCCAAACCAAAACAGACCAGGAAACGAATCCCCAGGACGTGTGCACAGGTGAGTTACCAGGCGAAGGACCCTTATTACATCATCGTCGAACTGTTCACTGACATCCTTCATACCACCCTTATCTCGATCGCCCCAGTGTAGGTTAGTGGTAAGATGTTCACCCACCCTCGACATCAAGAACTTACATATGTACTCTCCGTGATCTGCTATCACTGCTACCCCAGGAAACGGAAACAAAAGTGTGACTCGTTGAAGCCATGTGCGGTGTGTAAACTCAGAGGCGAAGCGGATCTATGCGACTATTCTGGGGCACAGCCCACGTGAGTCTATGCACATACATACCAGTTTGAAGACATTCGATCCTTATCTAACCGATCGGAGTCGGAAGGAATCTGACCGGCATTGTCCTCGAATCACAGTCGAGTGTTGGACGAAGAAGACGAAATCAGTAATCAGGTCTCTTCCGAAGAACTGAAGGTCCTCCGCCAACAGGTCGACGACTTGGAACATGCTGTCACCCTCGTCGTCAACCGTCCACTTGGCGAGGCCAGCCCCACCCTGGGCCATAACGATGTCACTCATCGATTAGCAATCGATATGGATGGTATTTTACCCTTCTCTTAGAAAGCGTAGCATCAACGGAGAACAGCTCAGGCAATAGATTACTGAAGACTGTTTCTTGTTGTTGTTCTTGTGTTGATTAGAATTGAATCTCACCAATATCTTGTCAAGCTTCTTGGTGTGCAGGATGGTCTCATCTGAGTTTATTCAAGAATTCCCAATCATTCAGAAGGTATATTTGAGTAATAAGCCCCAGAGAGAAATCTACCGATAACATAAGTCTCATGCACTTTCAATTATGTGATCGCTTTAAATAAAAGGTTCGCCATCAGTGTCGATTGGACCAAAATTTACCGCCAGTTCCGAACACGACCATCTATGCATCTAGTGGTCTATCGACCTACTTCAGCAACCAACTCAACAAGAGTCATTACACCGAACTACGCAATCTATTGCCCACCCAACAACAATCGAGCGTCTTTCTAGCGACATACATGAAAGAGTTTGGATGGTTTCACTCCTGCTTCAATGCTGAAACTTACACTGCCGCCCTCGACAACTTGTACACCTCTTCTCCTACGGGCTCCGAATTCGATAAGGACCCCCAGGCCAGATTCATCACCATCGCTACCTGTTTCGCAATCGCTCGCTCAGCTATCATCAAGCTGTCGTCGCAATCGTTGATCGAACTTAACTTGCCCTGTGAGCCTTCCGCTCGGCTCGAGCAGTCTAGAATGTGGCTTAACATGAGTGTGGCTTGTTTGAAATGCGCTGGTGCGTATTTACTAACTTTCGTTGTTCTTTTCATGCTTCTTGAATGATTGAGGAAAGGCTTATGTGCAATAGAAAAATTTCCTTTTTTTGATGATGAACATGGACAGATTTCGAAGTCAATCCGTTGCTGGAGTCGATTAATTGTTTGATCATCCTGTTGGAGGTCGTATGGTTCGATGAGATTGTGGGAGGAATAGAAGACCTGTCGACCCTATTTGACCTGAAATGCAAAGCGGTCCATCTAGCGTTTGACCTATCCTTACACCGAGACCCATCGCACCGGGATCCGACGGGGATGGTGCATGTGAATCCGGCGATTGCAAGAGAGCGCCGGATGGCCTGGTGGGCTCTATTATCGATTGATGGCCTGTACAGCGGCCTGACCGGTCGAATGTCATCAATCATCGGACTCGAGGCCGTCGACGTCTTCTTGCCCGCACTCAGTACCACCTCGTATCCTGAAGAACCGCATGATGGATGCGAGCAAGGTTGCACTACTTCGACCCCTGCTACAGCCATCAAGCCTCGCCTGCTACTCGGCTACGTCGGCCATGAGGTCAGATTGATTCTATCCCCCCCTCCCCGTTTGTCTTCTCTCAAACTTTGCCCGCTTAGCTATCTTCTTGCTCGCCTTCAGATCGCTCGATTGCCCCATCAAAGAACCCCATTACCGACGATCAATGATATCCATCAAGCGCATCGCGATCTGGTCTCCTTAGAAGTCCATCTGTCTGATTCTTATAAACTGCACATCATCAATGGCCATTGTATTGACCGCACCCGGCTCCCGCCATGTTCGAACGCCAGAAGAGATGCAATCTATTTCTGTGAGTATCCATTATCAAGCCTTTTGAAATGGATGATATTCGGCTGATTCCCTTGGTGCTCGACCTGTGATCTTGCTCCTTGATCGACAACCAGATATGAGATACCATTATCTGTTTGTCAAGCTCCACAGCCCCTTGCATTTCATTCGAAAAGGCGAAGACATCCCCGGAATTGAAACTAAACATCCCTACCATCGCTCCGCTGTGGTTGATCATGCTTGTAAGGCGTGCTTTTTTGTCTTATCACTTGATAGCAAAGAACGCTGCTCATATTATTCTTCTTTTTTACACCTATAGTGTTGCTTTTGGATTTAAGGGTTCTTGGAAATTTTAGTCCTGATTATATTTACGGAAATAGTATGGTTATAGAGTAAGTCAATATTTCCATTGACTGCAATTTTTCATTGAGAACCATGCAAAGCTTACTTAGCGCTGATTGACTCCCTTTTTTTTGAAACCAGAGCCTCGTTTTCGCTCGCCTTAGATTATCTGTATGATCCGAAGAGTGAGGTCGCCAATGTGATCAAAGTCGAATTGCAAAACTATTGTAAATTTCTGCAGAGTAGTAAGGTGTGGCTGATCAAACGAGGCCTCAATATCCTGCAATGTTTGATGGCGACTTGGGGGTCTCCTCCGCCCAAGGGAACAGTCAGTTGGTTCTCGGTCAACAAGCCTACTCTTTCGCCTTGTAGTTGGATTCAGGGACCTTACCATCAGGTAAATCAGCACATGTATCTCCCTTTTGAGTGATTCCCTGCCCGTCTATCATTTGCTGAGATGCGTGTGTTTGTATAGCCGCTTGAGATCACAAATTTCTCAGGGACGGGCGAGACACAAAGCCGACTGGAAAAGCTAACTCAAGCAGAGCCGTCTATGCAAGTCTTCGATTCACCAGATCATGTGGCCAATGGCCAACAGGCTCTGGCCGGTCCCCCTTGGCCTCTACCTGGGACGTTGATCGGCCCCCATTCGCCGTCCGGCCCGCTTCCTGCCCAGTCCGTCTCCTCGACCCATTACCAACAGTCCCAGCAACACCAGCCTCATCCGCAATTGCCGGAATATAATCACTCCGGGATCTCGAGTGAGAACTCGAACGAGTTCTCCCAGTTCACTCACCAGCCCGGCCCTCCTCGCTCCCAGACTATCGTCCATCCTGACCCTTTCCATCAATTCTCGATTCTCCCTACAGCTTCCACTCGTGGCCACCCAGATGGTCAGTATGAGCACAAGAACAACAACAATCAGGATCCAAACAATCGCCCCAATACCTCAGCCGAAAACGGCATGAATCTTGACGACTTCCTTAGTGGGGTGAATGGACCACCGCATCCTGGCTCAGCCTCGGGTGGACCGCCTCGGTTCGAGAACGGCCATCATCATCAGCTCCCTGCCACTCATCATCATCATCATCATCATCATCAGTCAGAGCTTGCGTCGAATCTCCAGCCTAATGGCCCCCCTACCCAGCATCATCATCTTCATGGCCATCATCATCAACTCGACCCTCATCATCTTCATCAGCATCATCATTATCAGCAGCAGCAGCAGCTCCAGCATCATCAGATTGATCAGTTCTCTCATCCGGCTCTGCCGACCCATCATCTTCATCAGCAGCAGCAGCAACAACAACAGCAGCAGCAACAACAACAACAACAGCAGCAACAACAACAACATCAGCAGCAACAACAACAACAACAGCAGCAGCAGCAGCAGCAACAGCATCAATACTCCCCAACTCATGCTAAATGGTGAAATTTGCTATTCTTTTTTTTCTCTCTAGTCCATTTACTTGGTTTTATCTTGGTTGCACCAAGTTTGTTTTTGCGATCAAAGAGTTTTTTTTTCTTCTTATTATTAGGATTGAATTGAGATGGGGGTCGATGAGGTTCTGTTACTTGATCAAGTATATGTCTCATTCTTCTCAATTCTTTCATCCACATATTTTCTTCTAAAAGTAACCCCCCCCCCCAAAAAAAAAAAAAACATATTAATTCATTAAATTGAACGTAGTTTAATCTTGTATATATATATATGTGTGTGTGTATGTGAAGGACACCAAAAAGCATGTATTTCTCTGCTATTTATCTTTATTTATATCACTTCTTCTTTATTATCCCAGGTTGCTGTTTTTTTGAAGGGGGGAAGGGGGGAGAATGAACACAAGAAATTTCTGCTATGTGTTAGTGCAGGATCTTTGGTCATTGTTCATTTTTTTTGTGGGGGAGTGGGTGGGTTATGATGGGTTTTTTGTGTGGAGATAGGGTTCTATTGGGATTCAATAACACTACTGAGATAATGAAAAAAGAACTGGCAAAATAATACCAGTGTTTGTGGATTCCACTGTGCACCTATGTGAATTCAACAATACATGGATTGGTAATACTAATCCAGACATGAGCTATGGATATCTTTGATTCATACTCGGCCAACCAATGATTCATGAGGACCACAAGTGCCTGGATAGTCCTACCCAGTTTGGTATCATTTCAATTTATAATTTAAATCTCAAATTATTAAAGTCAGTTTGTCTAAAACTAGTACAAGCTGACAAACCTATTCTAAGGTCCCCATAGCCTAAACAAATACTTTATCAATACCAAAATCAATCAAGTTCTCCCTCCCTCCGTCCAAGGAGGGAGAGAACTTTATCCAAATCTAAATCAATAAATTCCTCCCTCCCTGCTTAGAGCATCTCCACGGGAGTCGCTAATTTTGGGTCTCTATGTTCTCACGATAGCGACCAGAATTCAAGTTTTGAAGACCCAAAGTGCTGAGGCACACACCGGGCATGTTTTGAGGGAGTCGCTATCTGATGATTGGGCGAGGTGGTGATGTGTGGTGTTTGGGTTTCACAGAAGGAACACAGGAGTAGCCTGTGATCCTCCTTGCATCCAGAGTCGCTATCGAGTCTTAAAGTTTGAAGACTGGATAGGGATCAAGGCAGAAAATTGTAAAAAAGTGACCCGGATGGTGACTCCGGTGGGTCATCTTTTTCAAGTTTGGGTTGCTAAATGTGGGATAGCGACCCAATTTAGCGACCCCGTGGAGATGCTCTTAGGGGGTTTTCAGGTATGTGGTACATGTAAGACCATCTCCACCCAGGGGTGTATATTGTGCGAGTACACTAAATTTGCTTCCCCATACCCGGAATACAGCTTCCAGTGGGGGTGCTAAGAATGAGGTAAATTTAGTTTTCACCCTCCTGGTGTGGTGGAGAGAGCGCGGTGGGGCCAAAGCTTTGACCAGGTTGTATGGGCGGGTGCAGAATGCACAAGGTGGATGAGGAAAGCATGTGGAGCTGATGCTACAGGTGCAGGCACTACAAAAAGGATTGGATCACATTGTGAAAATGTGCGGTAACATTGCATGCCACATGCAATGTCACCTTGCATTTTCAGAATGCAATTGAATTGCTAGCGCTAAAAATTCAATCATATTTTGAAAATGTGAGGTGACATTGCATGTGACATGTGATGTTACCACGCATTTTAACAATATGATCCAACTCTTGTTGTAGTGAGGCTGAGGAAAGTGGTGGAAAGTGGGTAGAAAGTCAAGCTTTCCAAAGTGTGGGAAAGCTCAGGAAGAGCAGGGTTGAATGTGCAAGGTTCCAAAAGCTTACTGTGGCGAATCCAGGCACTGGCAAGCTTTGGGGCTCAAGGCCAACTGCGGATTGGGGTTAGTGCATGCTGTGGAGGGGCTAAGAAGGAGTGGGGACACCAAGAGGTAGAAGCAGGGTTTGGTGCAGTTGGACCAGAGGCAGAAGTGGCAGTGGGATACCTGTTTGACTGGCGGTTGGAGAAGAACATTAGCTGGCAGATAGAGGTGACAAGTGGAGTGCGAGAGAGTGAGAGCAAAGGACAGTGTGGGAAGTTTGGAATGGAGTGGGCAAGACAGTTGGAGGAAGAGGAGTTAGGAGGGGAATAGAGAGGGGGGGCTTATGACTTAGAACATATCAGCAAAACAGAGAGACTTAGAAATAATTGTGTATTAGCTAAGAGATTGTTAGATATTGTGAAAGTTAGAGTGTTAAAGCAAATACAGAAGAGAATTCATAGCTATTTACCTACCAATACGACCATCAAGCAAGTTACCCCAGACAACAAATCAGAGTAAGGTAGTGTTGCAGAGCGGAGAAGGTCAACAATTCTCCTAGGGCATGCCTTTTAGATAGTGCCTTTCTTTCCACACCGGTGTGGTAAGACCAATCAAAACTTGTTACATCTTTCTACCACCAACGGTGCAACATATACTATAAAATAAAGTATTGCCCAATATTTTATATTGTATTGGTGTCCAGATAAAAATTATCTTTAATAAATATATTATATCTGTTTGCCAATAAAATAAAAAGTATTTTATTGGTTTCATTGGCAAACAGATAAATTTTATCTGTTTTGAATATATTGTATTGGCCAATAAAATAAAATATTGGCACACTATGGAGGTACTGAGCAGCCATTTTGGCCAAAAAAAATGAAAACATGGGGATGAACCGCCAATTTGGCCAAACAACCGCCAAATGACGCCCCTGAACCGCCAGAATTGCCAAATTGAAAAATGAATCCAACCGCCAAATTGGCCACCCATGCTCCTGAGCCGCCATCATTGCCCCTGAACCGCCATGCATGGCACTGAACCGTCAAATTAGCCATCAATTTTGAAAAACGTCAAATACAGCCTGAAAATCATACAGGGCATGGCGCACTACAGAAGCCACATTCCCCACCTGTATCAGAAATGTAAACACATAGATTCTGTTCGTTCCATAGTGTTACCCGTTACTCGTTACACATAAGGACAAAACAAGCCTTGCATAAGTCACATCCAGACAACGATCCAGCCCTTCCCTTACAGCTTCCAGACGATCCAGTCCTGTCCTCACAACATCAAGACGACCCAGTCCTTTCCATTTCTAGATCAAGAGTAAGCAGCAGAATCCCATACTTATGCACCCTTAATAGCCAAACACAACTAACGTAACTTGCATAGAAAAAAAGATGTTCTGTTTCCAGTGTGGAAAATCTCCCGTGGTTTTCCGTGGATTATGCAACGACTGTGTCGACAAAATGATTCCAAACTCAGCACCTCCTCCAAAAATCAGACCTCCAACTGGCCAATTGACCTCGGCTCAAGAGGTTCTCCAATCTAAACGGCAAGAGGCAATCCAAAGGGCCAGAGCGTTATACTCCAATCCAATCACCACACCTACTGTCCCCAGCCCACTCGGCCAGTCCATGGCATTTCCTATTGGCGTGAACCCAGTGGTGAATGGATTGACAGGCAGCAGTCAAAGTCTGTAATTTCATGCGTGTAAATCCCATATCGTTCTACTTCAAACATTAAAACTCACCTATAACCTTATTACTACTGTCTAATACCCCACCACAGCTGTGGTCCCTGCGGTCTTGAACCCTGCATACGAATCAGCCCAAGCATCACATTCCATGGCATTTCCTATTGCCGTGAACCCAGTGGTGAATGGATCGACCGGCAGCAGTCAAAGTATGCAATTTCATGCGTGTAAATCCCATATAGTTCGTTGTAACTCACCTGTAACCTTATTACTACCAACACAGCTGTGGTCCCAGCCATCTTGAACCCTGCATACGAATCGGCCCGAGCTTCAAGAGTCTCAAAAACTCAACCTTACCCAAACAACCGAGTCGGACGTACAGTTGCAAGAAGAGCTCCGGCAAGTAAAGGTGCCCTACCTGCTACGAATCCTCCCGATAAGATTTCGGTCCAATGTGGCTTTGAGATGTGGGCCCGAGGCAAATATGCTGTGAGCCTGGGTCTCAATAGTGACAGCAGGACACAAGGTTTGGGGGGCACTTTTAAATGTATTTCTCAAGAGAAGTGAAATACAAGTAAAAGTGGAAGAGAAAGAGAGAAGAGAAATAGAAGAAATGAATAATCTTTTTGTTGTTTGTTTGTTTTGTGATGATTATTAAGATTCTGACAGTCTTATTTCCTCTGAGGGTAGCTGTTATAAGCGGAGCTAACTCTACGCCTCCAAATCAAAGGAAACTGAAATGGGTACTTGACTCTGATAAATCAGGTCAACCACAATTTTTTAGATCAGGGATGATCAAGGTTCTTTAAAGGGAAACCTATGTAGTTTTCAGTTTTACTACCAAACAAGAAAAGAGGAGAATCTTTGAAGCTTATGGAGCTTTGGTGGATCAGGGCTTTTGGTTTAGAGAAGGGAGAGAAAAAGGTGAGAGTGACAGAGAAAGAAAACAAGCAGGAAGATGCTAGCTGGACTTAAAGAAGTAACTTACTGATGACACCAATGACACTGAGTAGTGGGAAAGGCAGGAAAAGTAAGGTTCTTCTGGTTGATAAGTGTAGGCTGGATCTGGTACTGGTTGTTGTGGTTTCTGGGTGGTCTGGAGTCTGAAAATCCTCTGGAAGCGGAATCAACAAGCTCAGAGAGGATTTTCAAAGTTGGATGACATAATCATTACATGTACATGTGGTTGGGAGAGATGGAATTCCAATTTGGTTGGTATTTCACAAGGTACGGTGAAATGTTACAAAGTCCATGAAGGAGAAGAGTAGTGTAAAACTGGTCAGTGGTGACCATGGTTGAAATTAAATGAGGAATTCATTTCTGAAGTCAGAATGTAATAAAATCTTAAGCTGAATAAGTTATAGTTGGAACATGGATGAAAAGGGGGGACTCAGGCAGTCTTTTGGCCAGCTTGGCTGGCTCTAAGGCTGACATATGCCCCTTCACAATCGGTCATTCGAAGCAATCAGTTTGTGCTCTGGTCAAATCCTGATTCTTTTCAAGAGCTGATCGACACGCTCTGCAACAAGTTCAACGGTAAAGTGGAACTCCGGACAAAGATGACTAAGGACAGGGAAATGTTTGGTGTCGAGCACTTCAGTTTTTGTCGGTTAGGCACCAAGAAAGGAGGATCTGTTGAAGATTACGAATCGTTTGTCGAGTTCTTAAGGCGGGAAAAGGCGATCGACTTGATTTATGACCGGGACACCTTTGAACGGCACACCCTTGATGAAGAAGAACAAGAAGGAATTGACGCTCAAGCTGCACGATATGCTCTCCGATCAGGAAAGGACACTGAATATCATGAAGATTTGCATTCAGACGCTGAAAGTGACAGCTCTGAATCCAGTCTTCCTTCGACCATTTTCACATCTGCAACCGGTTCAACATCGACCACAACCTTACCCCAGAATCAATCAACTTTACCTCCTCCTCCAAGTCTACCTTCTTTGACATCAGCAACCCGGTCAACTCCAACCACTCATTTACCCCAAAATAAATCACTTGTTCCTCCTCCCTCTCAGCCGGTGGTTCAGAACAACCACGATCAACGTCCAAAATTCTCCTCAGTCATTCAACAAGAGACCAACCCCCATGTTGAAGCCTTGAACAGAAACTTGGACGACAAACTTGTGATTTTTAGCATCCGCCCATCTTGTAAGTGTCACTATTTTAAATAACACACCTGACTTGAGTGACTAAGATTTGTTATTAGGGGCGAGCCGAACCAATCTTGGATCCAAACGATTTATCTTGGGAGAGATTTGGGAGCATGGAGGACACTGTTTCATACCGAGATTCCGACAACTCTGACTGGGTTGATGGAGTTCGATTGAGCCTGGATCCCGATGGGCTCAACATGCCTCAGAAAATTTGTCTCTACCGTGTGAATTATAATAAATGTTTCAAGGTGAAAGAGACGACCAAAATCATAGCGGCCGAGGTTCTTGACTCTGGAAAGATTTTTCCCATGGTAGCCGAATACTCTCGAGTCCGCAAGGATCTAACACGTGATTCATATTCATGTGTACCAAACTATTGGCTGAGGACCTATGCGGTTTCCAGGCAATTCCTGGCTCAATTCTGTCAGGCTATAAGTCAGTCGGAAGGTGGGACAATTATTAAGCAAACAGCAAAAAGGTTACGGGTGAGTGTGTCTGCTATTCAAATCCTTTACAAATTTATTGGACTAACCAACTACCCACCAGATTGTCAATGGATTTCCTGTTCACCATGACATCTTTACTCAACCAAGACATGAGGATAAATATGTTCCTGGTCAGGATGATGATATGTTTGATTCCACTGAAGAACCCAACTACAATCTCCCGCCCAACAATATTTGCGATGAACCATCTCGAGTGTTCTGGATGGAAGAAGAAATCACTGGCGGCTATACGTCCCTTTTGTCAATTGATGACGATGTCTACTTCACCGGTGAACCTCGCTCTCCCACCGAATTTTTGCTCCACTCGTTTCAACACTGGCTCTATAATCACACTCGTGGCCAGATCACCATTCATAAATTTAAAGGCTATGGTACCCTTATTTCCAAACCACACATTGTAGATTTGAACACTGAGTATGTGCTATACATCAATCCTCTTGATTTCTGTATTTGACACTCATAATTTCTATACCCTTTGAATCCACAGGTCTATTTGGGAGAATGAATATTCCAAAGAGTTCATGGAATTATTTCTCGAGAAGCACAAGTGCAACAAGGTGTGCAAAGACCTGGAACTACCCGACTTGGTTCGAATCCCTTGGCAACCAAGATCCACAAGATCCAGCACCCCAGGAAACATTCACCATTCGACTGTCAACTCTGCTCATTTGGCCAACGAGATCGGTCATTCCACCATCAACATCAAAGAATCCACCAGCAACACTAGACAAACCCCAGGCCATACTAATTCGATTACGGATGAGGATCTGGGGCTGATCTCAGTGGTCAGACTGGGCACGCAGGCACTGAGGTCACGATTTCATGATTGAGCATCTCATGTATATAGATGTAATGGCCACTTAATCATTTATCAATCCATTATGATTGCCTTTTTTCTCATGAATGCCCTGGTCACGTATATAGAATTGATGGCCACTTAATCAAATATAATTATCTTTTTTC